TAATGACTGCTTACTGATTTGCTTGGTTTGTCCCACTTGGTGGGTTCCAGTCAGTTAGTCGGGTAGTGAGAAAACTTATTAGAAAAACTGATTTGGCAAATTATTACTTTTCCTGGCATGTCAAGAAACTAGTAGCTTCAGATAGTGGGTTCAGATATGGCTTATTCTTTGCATGATAGAGCTTTAACTTTAGCATTTTTGGATGACAGTGATTTTTGTATTCCTGAGCCCATGCAGTGATGTCCATGCAGAATCAAGCCTGTTTTTAATGTAATGCCGTCTGAGGGCCCGGAGATCATGGACATCCAATATTGCGTTTCGGCCTTGTCCCTTGTGCACAGAGATTTCTCCAGATTCTCTGAATCTTTTGATGATATTATGTACTGTAGATGATGATATATTTAAGGTCTTTGCAATTTTACATTGAGGAACATTTTTCTAAAATGTATACACAGCTTTTTACAGATTGGTGAAGCTCTGTTCATCTTTACTTCTGAGACACTCTGACTCTCTAAGATGCTCTTTTTATACCCAATCATGTTACTGACATGTTGCCAATTAACCTAATTAGTTGCAAAACGTTCTTCCAGCTCTTCCTTGTTAGTACCACTTACTTTGCCAGGTTTTTCGTTGCCCCGTCCCAACTTTTCTGAGAAGCGTTGCTGCTATCAATTTCAAAATTACCTTATTTTTTTCTTACAATTACACATTTTCGCAGTTTAAACATTTGATGTTTTCTATTTTCTATTGTGAATAAAATATGACTTTATGAGATTTACAAATCATTGCATTCTGTTTTTATATAGATTTTACACAGTGTCCCAACATTTTGGGGAATTTGGATTGTATTTAAATGAAAGTTATCACGCCCATAGTTCAGCTTTAAGAAGATAAAAGAAGTGGGTAGCGGTTCAATATAATTGCACTACATTTGTGGTTAGATCGAGTCTTTGAAGAAGCATGACTTCTGCACGAATCCTCCCAGGATTCCTCTTGTGTCTGACCTTTTACATGATGCAGTGCCAAGAGGAACCCAATAACCACTTTCCCTCAATGTGTACCAGGTCATGTTCTGTTTCAGAGGTCTGTCAGGGACATAAAGTATGTTGACATGCAGCCCCATCTTACCATCAGGACATGGATTGCTTACAGTGATATTGCTTATATGGGGGCGTACCTGTGAAGACAAGGATGGTACAACCCATGACTTTAACGGGACTTTACTGAACCACCAATGAGTGTAAGTCTGTTTGTGTCCCTGACTCAGGGCACCTCCTAAGAGACACACTCAATACAACAAATTTGTATGTCATTTTTCTTTATTGGCTGTATTTTCTAAGGTTCCTTTTAGTAAACCTTTTTATGAAGCTGGTATTCTCAACCCAACATATGTATCATAACAACTGCTTTACAGGCAGACCAAGAATTAGTGATGGGAATTACTTTATTTCTTGGAAAAGGCTTGTAAAGAATTAAATATAACACTTCAAAAACACAAAGCAATTTCAAGGGTGCCAATGTATGAATCTGTTTTAATTTTTTTAATTTACTGCAGCTGTTTGAAAGTATTTGGATATCAACTAGTGTTAATACAGATGAGTTGTTTGTGACGTAATTAGATGTTACGAGAATTCCAGGGCTTTATTCATAAGCCCAGAGTTGATTTATTAAAAACTAGAGATTACTTTTATGTCAGCTAAGTTTTGTTTACGTGAAGTCAAATCTTGTTTAGTTATGCATAGAATGAAGAAGGGTTAAACTTCTTGAGGTTCTTCTGCTGTCTGTGACCCCACTGGTGGTTCTTTCAGCATGGTCACAATAATAGGATGTGCAGTTTTTATAGTATTGTGGGAAAGACTAAGCACTTGATCTATCCCAATGGTTTGAGCCAAAGATTCTTCTTACATCTCTCTGGATCTCTGGCAGTTCAGTCCCATCTTGGCATCTAAGAGATCCTTTGAGTATACAGGTAGAACGTAGAGAATCTATGGACAAAATGGAATATAGTTATCTCACACATACACATGGACAACAGGACATCAGAATGCTTGCTTTATAATGCCTATGTTGGGGGAGTCGCAGCTCACCTTTCTCAAAGCATTTCTAAGGATCAGGATAACTATGACTAATGTACCCAGGATCTCGAGGTCTGGGAAAAATGAGAGGACACTTAGGACAGACTGAGTCTGGCCCCTGTGTCTCCCCTCAGTTTGGCCCCTGTGTCTCCCCTCAGTTTGGCCCCTGTGTCTCCCCTCAGTTTGGCCCCTGTGTCTCCCCTCAGTTTGGCCCCTGTGTCTCCCCTCAGTTTGGCCCCTGTATCTCCCCTCAGTCTGGCCTCTGTATCTCCCCTCAGTCTGGCCTCTGTGTCTCCCCTCAGTCTGGCCTCTGTGTCTCCCCTCAGTCTGGCCTCTGTGTGTCCCATCAGTCTGGCCTCTGTGTGTCCCCTCAGTCTGGCCTCTGTGCCTCCCCTCAGTCAGGCCCCTGTGTCTCCCCTCAGTCTGGCCCCTGTGTCTCCCCTTAGTCTGGCCCCTGGGTCCTCTTAGTCTGGCCCCTGTGTCCTCTCAGTCTGGTCCCTGTGTCCTCTCAGTCTGGTCCCTTTATCTCCCCTCAGTCTGGTCCCTTTATCTCCCCTCAGTCTGGTCCCTGTGTCCTCTCTGTCTGGCCCCTGTGTCCCCCCAGTCTGGTTCATATGTCCCCTCAGTTTGTCTCTTGTGTCCCCTCAGTCTGGTCCATGTGTCCCCTTAATTTGTCCCCTGTGTCTTCTCAGACTGGCCCTTGTATCTCTCCTTAGTCTGGCCCCTGCGTCCTCTCAGTTTGGCCCCTGTTCTCCCCTTGTGTGTCCAGCACAGGGTGCTGGTGCTCCTGTCCCTCCTCAGTGTCTGATAGTGATTCCTTCCATCCCTCCCCCCCTCAGCTTACTTTCTCCACAACATCTGTGTTCCGTGATCTTGTTCTTCCTGTGTTCTTTCAAGCACAGCGTGGTGTCCTGCACAGTCCTTCCGGCTCGGTCTGATGTCTGCTGGAATGGGGGTGGGGCGCCTCCGCTCTGTGTCTGTTCTACCTTGCCGCTCTGTGCTCTATGATCAATGAAGCTCTCAGAGCAGGCCATCAGGCATAGCGGTTTGGGCCCAGCCGGGCCGAACACAATCCTGGCCTACCGGGCAAGTGCCCGATTTGCCCCTGGTCACATTATTGGCCTGCATCAAGCAAATAAAACAACTAACTAGATTGAAAATTGAGTTAAAAAGTGTCCAATGCATTATTAAAACCCAGAAGAATAGTGGTAAACCATCATCTTCGAGGAAGAAATGTGGTCAGAAAAAGATCTTGTATGATTGTGATCATACGATTTGGTAAAATCAAATCGTAAAAAATCAACAGTAGAACTCACGGGTATGTTTAATAGTGAAAGTAAAAGCATTTTCTCATGGACAGTGCAAAGAGAACTCAAGGGATTGGGACTAAACAGCTGTGTAGCCTTAAGAAAACCACTCATCAGTGAGGCTAATGGGGGAAAAAAGCTTAAATTTGCTAGGGAGCGTATAGATTGGGCTCCGGAGCAATGGAAAAGGGTCATGTGGTCTGATGAGACCAGATTTACCCTGTTCAGAGTAATGAGATCATCAGGGTTTGAAGAGAGGTGGATGAAGTGATGCACCCATCAAGCCTAGTGCCTGTCAGGGCAGTGTTATGGTTGCTTCAGTTGGTCAAGTCTAGGTTTAGCAAATTTATGTCCCCCAAAAATTAGCTCAGTTGCCTACCTGAATATACTGAATGACCCTGATGGCATGGGCATATTCCAAGATGGCAATGCCAGGATTCATCTGCTGCTAATTGTGAAAGAGTGGTTCAGGGATCATGAGACATAATTTCACACATGGATTGGCCACCACATAGTCTAGACCTTAACCGTATTGATAATCTTTGGGATGTGCTAGAGAAGACTATGCAGTGTTCCGACTCTCCCATCATCACAACAAGATCTTGGTGAAAAATGAATGCGACTCTGGACGGCCACGGTGAATGTATGCCGTAATCAAAGCTAAAGGAGGTGGTGCAATGAATTATTAGAGTGCATAACTTTTTTATGTCCAGGCAGGCAGTGTATGTGTGTGTGTGTGTATGTATGTACATATATGTGTATATATATATAAATATATATATATACATATATATGTATATATTTGCCCTGGTGACCTCCAAAAATAAACAAAAAAACTAGAGAGTATTGCAGCACAGAGAGCTAAATTTATTGCTAATTTAACAAAAAAATACAGCAACGTTTCACTGTTTAAACACCACTGTAATTTGTTCTGTTAGATGAGCAATACATTTAGCTCTCTGTGCTGCAACTCTTGTTTCTTTTTCATACCATAATGGATCTTATGAGAGTTGGACATATAGTAGGAATTTAGACTGATTTCAGTAGTTTTCCCTCTAAATTTGTTGTTTTTTGTTTTAGATATACGTTGGCAGGTAATGAAGCCATACTCATTATAGCAGTTGCATCAGGCTTTATAAACATCTGTTATCTCACTAGGGCAAGTCCCCCCATACACCTCTTCCAGCTGCACAACACTGTTGAGCTGGAAGAGATGTTAAACAAATTTTAGGTTCAAAATATATCAGACAGCTGAGTTATTCTACAGCCAACTACATCATGTAAAAAACGTCAAGAGCGGAAAACATGATTGAAAGACATTAAAAGCAACCTTCTTACCTGTTTTTGCCAATGTTTCTGTCAAGATCTGCCATCATCCTGCTCCTGTGCCAAAAGGGTACTAGCCTGGAACATTACACATCTATGTAGCTTTACTTACACTGATGTGCCTGCCCCTGGATCTAGTACTGTTTCTGAAGGTTTAGATTTTGGAATTCTCCAGAGCTGGAGAGGAGCTTTGGCAGAGACCGGTAGACAAAGATCTAACAGGTTCTCTTATGCTAGAAAATTGCACCTGACTGTCAGTTACTGATATAACATTCATTATTACATTCCACAGGGGGAAGTTTCTGTGCGGGCTTTGATCTGAAGGAAGTAGCTCACAATGCTAACTCCCTGAAAATAGAGCCAAATGTTACCAAGGGCCCTGGACCCATGGTATGTAGGACCACTTAAATATAATGCTTTGAAAAATTAGTCATTTAGACCTATTTGTTTCTTCTTTATTATTTAGCCTAAATATGAACATGTGAGTTCTGATACTGTGTTTCTCCCCAGGGGCCTAGCAGGATGCAATTTTCTAAACCAGTAATTGCTGCTGTGAGTGGTTATGCTGTAGCTGGGGGTCTTGAGTTGTCTCTACTAGCTGACCTTCGAGTTGTGGAAGAAAGCGCAACTTTTGGAGTGTTCTGTAGACGTTTTGGTAAGTTTATGTGGTTTAAGAAAGTTCAGGTAATGAATATCTAAAATCAATCTGTGAACTAATGATGCTATCCAGGAAACATTCCAGATATGCAAAAGACACACTGCACATCTAGTTTCTTAACATCCCTTGCAGCCGGATTTTTGGGGCTATTGCTTCTGGGTAGGAATGTGCTTTTTCTTACGTGATTCTCTGCTGTCTCATCTTTAAACGTCAAATGTGTGTGCATGTGGCTGTATTACTGTCAAACAGTGGACATTTCCTTCGGAGTGGGATTATATGATTACACTAAATCATTTTTTTCATCACTATTTGAACTGATCACGAGTTATCTTTGCCTTGTGAGGATCAGATGAAGTTTTGTACTTTACATATATTTTATATGGACTTTAGTTATCTAATATTTATTATTCATTATTTATATATGGATTTTGATTATCCTCAATATTAATTTATGTACACATTAATCACATTGATTGATGATTTATACTGAGTGATTTGAATATCCTCAAATATGAATTATTCACATATTATTTCACACTGTTTAATATTTTTTGCACTATATTTATTGTATTTTATGTGTACACTTGATATACGGTGGAATACAAACATAGGTGTGTTTTGGGTTGTTTTATTGTGTATTTGGAGGGTTATCGGTTATATTCAATTGTTTCACAATAAGGGGAGATAGCGTGGTGTATTGGTTTAGCATAAATGTTAGTTTCCTGGCTGATCGAGATGCTTTAATACTTTCTGAATCACTGGCCCAGAATAAGTATTTTGATCAAGAGTTGTGACTTTCCAAGTTGCATGCTAGCTCCAGGTGAGCATGTATTGAGGCCAGAGACAGCCAGACAAGTATCAGTTTTAGAAGAGGGTCAGTCAGTTTTCATATTTCACTTTATACAGGTTTTCATAACAATAACAGTAGCCCTTTATTACTAAAATGGGTATGCTGATACATTTTACTCTATACAGCTGAACACATTTTGATAGTCATCTTAACCCTTTCGCTGCCAAGGACGTATGGCATACGGACCTACAAAAATAATCTAATAAATAGATGGTATATATGTAATTGAGAAAATGTTGCTTTCTTAAAAATATGGTAGCAGGAAATCTGAAGAAATGTAATGATGCACAGTGATGATTGCCAGATAGAGGATTTAGGGTGGAATAAAAATGAGCAAAGCTAGTTTAGGTGGTCGCTGTCTTTACAACAGATGACGCTCTATTTTTAACACTCATTGCATTCCAGTCTGTTCATAATCTGCATGACAAATCTGTAATAATGGAACACATTATACTTCCTATTGGAATTGCTTTGGGTTGTTTACTTTTTTTTCTGCTCCTGAACAGTGTGATATAGCTTAGTAGAATGTCAAAGTTAGCATTCTCTGCTACTCACTAGAGTGATTGGACTTTGATGTTGCTGCATACGTCCCGGTAACACTGCTCTTTGTTAACATCCAAGTAAGCAGCATTGGTGCCCCTGCTCATAATACTGAATGTCTAAATCATATAGAAATTTACACCAATTAGCCAAAACATTATGACCACCCACCTAATATTGAGTAGGTTCTCTTTTTGCCTCCTTAACAACCCTGACCCTTGGAGGCATGGATTCCTCTAGACCTCTGAAAATATGCTGTGGTATCTGGCATCAAGCCATCAGTAGCAGATCTTTCAAGTTCTGTAAGTTGCAAGGTTGGGCCTCCATGGATGCTCAATTGGATTGAGATTTGGAGGCAGAGTCAACAGCTCAAACTCATTGTTGTGTTCCTTAAACCATTCTTTACCTATTTTTCAATGTGGCAGGGAGCATCATCCTACTGGAAGAGGCCACTGTCATTAGGGAATACTGTTTCCATAAAGGGCTGTACTTGGTCAGCAACAATGTTTAGGTAGGCGGTGTGACGATAATGGGGGTGAGTCTGAATATTAAAAAATGGAATTCTTTTATCCCCCAGTCAGAGCAAATACAGGCCTTCATTTAGACCTTTGTCAGGCCTTCCACATTCCACAGAACAGAGATTTGAACAACTATAGTTCTTCCAAGGGTGTGGAAATGTAAAAAAAACCTACTTGTCCAAGGACTAAAGCGGGGGGCCGATCTACTTGTCCCTCATGACAATCTACTTGTCCTGATACAAAAAAATAGATTTTTTTTAACCAAAACCGTATTAAGCAGTGCCAAGAAGAGCTTCTCATTGGTCAGTGGTCTCAAATGACTGCACTGACCAACGTGTGCTTGCATTTTGCGAGCGAAATTCAGAATACATGGCACAGGTAGATAGTACACCCATACTGGCGGATGGGAAGGACCGTTCTCTGAAAGGTAAGTATAGCGGGAGGGGGGAGGGGGCCAGATTTGTGCAGGTAATTCCATTTTTCCAAATTACTTGGGAAAGTGAATTTACCCTTTGGGGCGGGTGCAGACTTAGGCAACCGTGTGTGTTCGCCACGCGGCCCCATTGATTTCAATGGGGTTACATCCGCGTGGTAATCGCTGAAAAAATGTACATGTACCTTTTTTCGCGACACGCACCGTGTTGTGTTTTCATCCGCGATTATGTACGATTGCACGGGCGTTATTGCGGCGGCAAACTGCGCAATCTGCCTGGCGCGCCTGGGGTGTCATTAGACAATAATGGCACTGCCAGCGCGATCGGCGGTGGTGTGCGCTTCTGTGACATCCCGGCCATCCACACGGTTTTGTGCACGATTGCTGTGCGGTAACGGATCGCCCAGTCCGCTCACACACACAATGCCCCATGCATGCGTTTATTCGCATCCAGATGATAGGGGTTGGTTTTAATTTTCGATTTTTTTTGCTTTGTAATATTTTTTATTTTTTACATTGTTATGTATTTCCATTTTTATTTTTTACATTTTTAATTGTTATATATATATTACATTTTTTACTTTTTTTCTTTCACTTGACTTTATTACTATCACACCAGGGTAACAAGCCCCTTGTGTGATAGCATTTGGAGGTGACAGGTTCTCTTTATTGACCCTGTCACCTCCAACACAGCAGTTCTAGCACAGTTCTGTGCTGGTTCTGTGACAGGAAGGCTGCATTCCCCTGTCATTATTCACATGGAGCCTAGTAGAGAAGCGTTCTCTGTCCTGCTCCCTAACCTAATTTGCCGTAGGCACGGATCTCCCACAAGAGGTGGGGGGGACCCCGAGGACCAGAGCAAAAGAAGCACGGAGAGAGAGGCAGCCGAGAAAGGTACACGGCCGACCGCCGGAGAGAGAGAGAAAGGGGAGGGGGAGAGAGGAGGGGTAGCGAGGGAGTGGAGTGAGATTCAGGCAAGTTACAAGTGGTTTTGGACGGCTGTACGAAACAGCTCCCACACTACATTTAGCTGTGCTGCTTGCCGGCAGCCGGGCTAAATGTAGAAAAAAACTACTCGCCAGGTGCCCGAAACTGCCTGTCCCGGGCGTCGGGCGATAGGAATTCCACACCCGTCTTCTATTGGATTGGACTACACACGCCAGCCTTCGCTTCCCACATCCATCAATGCATCAATGAGCCATGGCCGCCCATGACCCTGTCACCCGTTTCACCAATTTTCCTTCCTTGGACTACTTTTGTTTCTAGTTCTATGTGGTCTATTTCTGCTTCTAACACATCAGCTTTAGGGACAAAATGTTCACTTGCTATCTATTTTAAAATCTAGATTGTAAAAATTATTATCGGAAACTGTTCCATTGTTATGGACAAAAAGAAAAGCTAACTTTGCATACTCTTCATACAACAGACCCAAAAAAGGCAACCAATGATTTTTGCATATTATATACACAATTTATAGTGGCTGATACTAACAGGGTTATTCACAAATGGGTAAAGGGTTTGGAGAAGGCAGGAGAAGTGAACAATCTAGGTGTCACGATCTGGGATCAGGCTCGGAGTCCAGTAGCTGAAACAGCAGGCAAATTCATGGTGAAGCAGGCCGGGTTCGGTACACAAGCAGACGGTAGTAGTATAGGAGCAGGCATAAGTGTAGTCAGAGATCAAGCCGACGTCAGTAGCCAAAGGTATTAGGTAATGAAGCGGAAGACGATGAGAGTGGCCAGTGAATAAGCAGCCAAAGGTCGGTACACGGGTAGCAGTATGAGCAGATTGTATCACAGATGGAGCAGGAAGCAAGATATTGGCAAGAGCACAATATTCTGGCAAACAGGAAGTGTAGAGGCATGGCTTAAATAGGAAGTTCAAGGGAGGAGCAAGGAGTTCTAAGGTGGCTCAGCAGGAAGAACCACTGCCAGCTACAGCAGAGGCCCTGGGTTCAGATCTGGTTCCTGACACTAGGACAACATAACTGAACAGGAAAATGAGCTAAATTGGAGAATGTTTCCAAATCAGCTATTTTGGTCTAGATTGTTCACTTCTCCTGCCTTCTCCAAACTCTTCACCCTTTAGTGAATAACCCTGTAAGTCTACATACAGCATCTTTTAAGACCTGACTATGAAGGCAAGCCTTAGTCCCAAATCATGTAGGATGTGTATAAAGTGTTCTTTCATTGAATAAACCCGTGTCTGGACGTCATTATCACATTGTGGCGCTTTGTTTCAGATTTATTTTATCCCATCGCAATAGGATAAGAGAAGTTACAGGGGATCTGGCGCCATCTATTTACTTTCCTAAGCATCAGTTAATACGTGAAAGCACTGCTCTAAAATATTTGTTTCTCTCCAGCTTCATTGGCTTATTAAAACTAAAGATAGTTAAAGGTTGAATCATGATAGAAGATGATTTTTGTTTTCATTTTTAAAAAAGTGTTTTTCCACTTTTGCCGTCAAAAGTGGAACATGCTCCCAGTGCTGCAGTAACGGTGTCTATGTCCTGTTTGAACTACAGGAAGCTGTTCTTTGATCCAGTCTGCTAGAGTCAATACCTACTGCTGGTGGTTGACAGCTACTCTGGCCATTTAGTGGTCAAGACTTTGACATCTTGCTGCAGTGATGTCACTGACAACCTCAAGTAGCT